GGTCAAGGTCCTCATCGAAGCGCATCCGCAAATAATTATCTGCAGCGACGACGCGACGGGGTCGGTGCAACATCTGCATTCTGCACTCAGCGCGTAATTGCTGCACGACCGCCGACCGCGTCACCCACTGACACCGACGCCTGCGCGTCGTCGCGGCTTCCACAATTCCATCATTCACCGACTCCAATTTGACGTATTTCTGCCAGACGGAACTATGTGCATTATGACGTGAGCCCTGTTGTGCATGTATTATTTTGGGTCTTAGGGCTTTTGTTTTAATGCACATGGTTCCGTTCGGCAGAAATACGTCCAATTGAAAATCGACCCGATCGTCGGGTTCTCTTGCAGTCGACGCCTTCCTGGTCCCTGCGGTGCACCGCGCCCGAATGAAGAAGAGGAGCGACGGATCTGCGGGTTGATTATTGAAATTGATAGGTAAAGCGATGCACGGAGGAAGTATAAGGGGGAGGGGGTTATCACCAGCGTTACGTAACCCTCTCTATTGGTAAACAAGCAGTGAACTCCAACACAATGTGTTGATAAGGTGCGTCATTAACTCGCACATATCAACCCCTTTAGTTTTCATTTACAGAGATTTCAAAATAGGCAAACAGCACAACAAGAGAATTCACGATCCAACACTGCGAGGTCAAAGACGCACCTTGACGAGACCGTGTATTGTGAAAGTAGAAAGCTATTCGATCGAATTTAAGTTTTTTGATCTGCCTCAAGCAAAATCTTATCAGATTCTTGAAGAAAAGTGCTACGGAATAATTTAAGCGAAGAAAGGAAAAATTCTGTCGAACTCCTAGAAGATAAAGTCGATTTAAAGGTATTTTGGGGCTAAAATACCCAAATCACCGGTAGTAAAAATCCCGTTATATTATTGAAAAGAAATTGACTCGATATAAATGCAATTGCATTAAATACGTCTTGATTTTGTTATTTTAAACGTCTTTCCATGCAAAGAAGTTCAACCATGTCGTTGCTTTATTCATTCATGAATTGAAAGTAAGCAATCTACATCCCGAAAATCTACTGATTTGCCGTAAAAAATTGCAGAAACTTGATATACCAGGTCGATGCACCCACTCGTTGAATTTACCAACCAATTTTGTGAGTGCAAATGTGTAAGAATCAATATGCTATAGTCATTTTGGGTGCATTTATTTTTCATGAAACAATAATAATTTCAATCCCGAAAAACCATCAATTTTCCGTATAAAATCGAAAAAATCAAAATATGTCAACTCCCCGACGTGAAAATTAGATTCTACGTATGTAAAATGTAAATACTTATGTATCGATATGCTGAACAGAACTATGTGTGGACAGTCAGAAGCCCGCGGCAACATTAATTCAACAGAAAAACTGTAAAAATTAGATAGGATTTTAGCCGCTTTGCCCGCCTCTCCTCGCTACTTACAACAAACCGTTCTTATACTCATCTCAAAATTTTTCTCAGAGCTTTGGGTTATTATCAGCTTCCATTTAAACTCCGGTTCGATGGCCGAATCGGCTGCCAAAAAAGCAAGCCACTGTTGAGGGGTTCTATGAGAAATTCGTGATATTATCGGCTCTCAGGAAATCACCCCATGGCTAAAATTGGTGGTATAAATGTTTAAGTGCTTAAAATAATCGTATTCAAGAAACTAAGGAATTAAACTATGGAGTCAATTTCTTTTTAATAATATAACGAATTTACTACCGGTGATTTAGCTATTATAGCCCCAGAATACTTTTAAAGCGCCTTTGCGTTCCAGAATCTCGACGGAATTTTTTTTTTTTTTTTTTTTGCTTAAACGATTCAAGAAACATTGTAGTTAAAAATATAAAGATTTTTCGATTTGGACGTATGAAAAATGTTTAACTCGTTCAGGCACACCGTGTATTGTATGGAGTACTGCTGTTATTCGACCGTTGTCTTCAGGTCAAAATTCTTACAAAGAAGCCCCTTGCAAGAGGCAAATTTTTTGTAATTTCTCCCAGTTTTTTCAGCGTTAGGTATATAAATGAATTGTTTGTCAAATTTTGAGGTCAATTATATTTAATTGTAATTTATACTTTCTTTTTTTCCCCTTCATTTTATTTTTCGTATCGAGGAGTCGAGGTTTTGTTGATTTCTTCGGATTTCGATTACTGTAACTTCTCTTCTATTCGGCCGATTTTTATGAATGAGGTCTCTTTTTATTTGTGTTTTAACGGAGAGTAAGGAAAAAATTGCTAAATACATGCGAAACAATTTTTTTTGAAAATTGGATGAATCCTAGCGTGACGGTGAAATGGTTAATGAAGCGTGAGTAATTGGGGTACGGGTATCGGCCGCGTTGGGACCCAAGGCCCATTGTTCTTCGTGACGCCGACGCAGTGATCAGGAGCGTGGGGACGAGAGGGCTTAGTGGACTCCTGTATGAGCCACGTTTAGCAAATGGTCTAATGAGTCTCGAGGCTCATCACAGATTGCACTTACCACTATCCTGGTGGCCCCGGCTATCAGAGCAAGGAGTACCAACTTTTGAAAAGGATAACAGTGTTGTGGAGATATGTCAAAGCAACGTTGTGAACAAAACGGAGTGAGTGAAATTCTCATTCAAGGAGTGCCGAACTGGTCAGCCATCCTCGAATCAGTTCGCTTGCTTCCGCTTATATATGCATATTTTAAATCAGCGCGCCCCATTCTAAGGTTTTTTTAAAAAAAACCAAGAAACGTAGACTCTTGGTATTCATTACACATAAACTAGCGAGCCCCAGAATGAGAAACAAATTTTAATCATTATTATTGACGGATTAGTAAACTTTTTACACGCTTTGGAAAATCTCAGAAGTTCGCGGTAGTCACTTTTCGGTAAGGAACTAGGGGACTCGGTTATTGTATCGAGGGGGGGGTCGAAACGATCGCAAAGGCGGTATACTACGTATACGCGCCAAAAACACACAGAATCCTCATTTCTTCGACGTCTCTACCTTACGTTTCTACATACATACATTTAAGTCGCTTTATAGCAATCCGTGGCGCTTTACGACACCTAACCCTCTCTGCCCTCTGTCTTACCTTAACCCTTTGGGCATTAAGCACCTTAATACTATTTCTGCTTCATTGCCTTCTTTTCAACCTCTCCTTGGCCGTCCTCTACGCCTCCTCCCAGGAGGAACCCAATCAAGGACCTTCTTGGGCAACCTTTCTCCTGCCATTCTCTGAATATGACCATACGAAATGAGATGTCTCGTCAATGTCATGCACAATGGTCTGTTTGACATCCAAGATATTCCGTAACGTTTCGATTCTGACGCGATCCTCTCTGGAAGAAAGTTTCTACCGTCCTTGAAAAACATCGGAAAATCCTTTTGGGATAAATCATCGCTATTCAGGATTTGGGTCTAAAAATCCTTAATCCATCTAAGTCCGGCATTCGAGTAAAGTCTAATTTCGGACGAGAACTGCCGCGAAGATGAGGTGGTGACTGAAAACGCATCGTGGCGGTCAGCAAGGCAGTCACGCACCGGACGCGCGAGGCCGGTGCTCCATATGCAGCATCCGAGCGAGGCAGCGCATCGTCCCTCGGTCATCTCTGATCATCCTCGATCGCGGTCCGGGGCAGATCTTCTTCTCGGCAAGTTTATGGACTCCTCGATTAGGCAAACCGCCCGGCCGGCCCCGCACTTGCTCCGGCGATAAATTCCCGCGCTCCCGCCTCGCTCGCCAGCGCTCCTCTAATTTATCGATTCTTACCCCCGTCGCTCATACCAATTCGTCATCGCCGACAACATGTTCCATTTTCCAACAGACACCAGTCTCGTTTATGTCACTCCGCTCTAAGGAAAAGTGACCGGCTTTTTTTTGTCTTAACTGGGTGATTCGCCCCTTGACCGCTTCGCGGTCCAACCTCGCGAGGCGCTTCGCCCTCAGAGACAAGAGACCCTCCACCAGTATCTTTGCAATGGTGGAAGCTTTTACTTTCGGGACTTCAGCATTCAACTTTTAACCCACCTACTTAGTTGATGGTTAACGACATGTTGGCAGTTTCGTTTCGCAAACAAACCAAAGTTTGGGAAACTTGTTCGGCTCATGACGTCACCCGAAGCTCATCATGCACCAACTAGGTAGGCCAGCAGTCCGAAAAAAGAGTGATGCACTGAAAAAAAAAAAAAAAAACTCCGGCCGTAGAAGCCGTACTTACGGGCTGTATAGACTTATCGTCCGCATTTCGGGCTCTGAGGCCGAAAGTTTCGGGCATAGTACCCGGAGCAATCGAAGCAGCGGCTCCAGTACCCGGAGCAGATGACCTCTTCGCCCGGAACGGACGGTATGTCTATACAGCCCGTAACTTATTTTTTCAGTGTGACTTTTGTCCCTTTATAATTGTCCATAAGAGTGTGTTAAATCCCCGAGAGTAAAAGCTTCCACCTGTCGCCAAGAGGCTAGTGGAGGGTCTCTCGTCTCTGCATCCACCAAAGTAGCGTGACGTGCTTTGTGATATATCGATTGATCTGTCATTTGAACCTTTGGAGAAGGATCGATAGACAGTGTGTTCGCATCTAACACCTTAATAATTGATTCTTTACCCTAGCTTTGAATGGAAAAATATCAAAAGTAGATCATTCACGCCTCGCCACTGATTGACCAAATCTTTGGGCTGAAAATGTGAAACTAGATATACTTTCTGTAATACTGGAAGGAAAATACTTGGAACTTTACCTATTGTGCTTTTGAAGTTGTTGTGAAGTGTTGTGAAGTTGTACTTTTATCATAAGAGATTTAGGAATGGCCCAAGGTCCATACGCGTGGCGCGGCATTTTCCCTTACCATGGCAATATTTTCATTAAAACGACCATTGCTTTAGGTGCGTACTTTGGCAAAAGTCAGTGGTGGCAATTATCTTTCGTGGAGTATACAAAAACGTGAACGTTTTGCGAAGGAAACACTGCAGAGAGGATTCGCGGCGGCGACATAAGGTTACTTCTTAAACGACGCGTCAAAACAAGTTATGAAGCCCGCGAAAACAGCTGTGCAAGCATAACTACTCGTAACCGTTAGTAGTTCATATCATTTATCCTTCTATAATGGACGTGCCTGTATGCTGTCTGATATTCTTTTTTACTGCGGCAGTTCCAGTGGGGTCCCGGAATGGAACACGTCTTTTCCATCCAGCCCGTGGTACGATAGGACCCTATACTTCAATTTTTTAAGTCTGTTAAGAAGTCTACAGGTCATTAGCGTGTAGCATAGTGCGATATAATTGTCCTATAACAACTTCAACCTCTTAAAACTGAGAGATGTGCTCAAATTATTAGTTATCTGTCATGGACTGATTTAGTGACTATGTCACACAGTGGACAGAGTCAATAGGAGAGGTCGGACAAAATTTAGAAACTTTAATCGCTTATAACTCCGTTTATACAAAACTTTGAGGCTCTAAAAGTAATTCCATTAGTTTTCTCGTGAAATTTTCTTTAAGAAGCATCCTTTGAAATTTTAAATGTGGCGAAATAAACATCAAAATTTACAGTTGTAGTAAAAAATGTCATGTCCGACCTCTCGAATTGATTCGATCCACTGTGCGTCATTCGGTATAATATCGAAATATTGGTTCAAACCAAGACAAACTAACATAACATCATGTACGAATTCTTCAGGAGTTAATTGTGTTAAGCAATTAAAATTTAGTAATCGACAGGTCCTAAATCAATTGAAGACTCCTTAAACACGAGAACTTTCAATTGTAAGAAACACTTGGATCCATTTTACGATCATGGCGCAAAGAGCGCGAATCAGAAACAAGGTTCCGTGCTTGCTTACATTTGAACCAGGGGTTCGATATTATATCGAATGACGTAGCCACTAAATCAGTCTATTATAAACTACTGGTATTAAATGATCGCAAAAGGCTTAAAGACGAGTTGTGAGGCTGTTATAAGATATTGTAAAATCTCTCACAAAAATGCTGCATTATCATGATGAAAGGAGTGAGTTAAACAAAATAGCTCCATCTGCATCGCGGTGTTCCAATTTTTCATCCCTTTTCTTAGAATTGAATGTGATACAATGCGAAGTAAGCACTTTCAACGGCCGAGGATCGGCACTTTGATTATTAGCCCCTGGATACAACTATACGTGCTCGAAAGATGTCCGCATTGCATAAGACAAATATTGAAGGCGCCTCTGATTTTTCCGCGCGTTGGTGCATTGTGATGCACGTAGCCGGCGTGTAAGGACACTGTGTCGCTTTTGTAGCTTTGTTCATTGGATAAAGTTAAGCAAGGGAGTCACATTTATGTCGCAGTATTTCAATATCTCATCTCTTACCTTAATTTTTTGAAAGAAACTGACCTACATTTTCGCTTGAGAGAAAATTGCAATAATTTTTAAATAGAGTTCCATTAAAAAAACATAATTAAGAGGTATGATTCCGAAACATTGAGAAGTAGGTGAAACCATTTTTGCTGTATCTCTATTGTAGTCTTAAACAAATTTAAAATGCAATATAAAAAATTGAATAGTCAAACTTTAAACAATGTAGTCTAAAGTTGTCCTCCTGTTTTCAAGAAATTTAAATGTACCCTACTCAACAAATTGAACTTAAAATATATAATTTCTTTTCTTTGTAATTGAAATTTCCCCTTTCTTTTTGTAAAGTCTCATAGCATCTCTAGACGATCCACCACTCAACAAGAATATATTATTATATATTATAAATAATGTGCCATATATTTGAGATATCAGATTTTGTTTCTACAAAGAATTTATTTGTGGGGATTATGGTGGAATCCTAATTTAACCCTCCGTCACACTAAATCAGGGAAAAATAGGGATTCTTTCAAGGGCATATTTTAGCCGAGATAAACTTCTCAAAATTATATTTTCTATGCACCTACAAATTAGAAATGATGATTATTATTACTAAGCTTAAAATAAAAATTTGTGTTTGAATTCCATGCTCAATTTTGACGAACATTTTTTGCAGGGTGCGTGAAAGGAAGAAATCTAATGTTCAGAGAGCATCCATGCGTGACGTACTGTCGAGAAAGATGGGGTGAGCCAACCAGTGAGCGATATCAGCCACCGTTTGCTTCTGCCATTTGCAGATTCCGCCGATGTTTATGTACCATCAATGTTTGGTATTGGCCACTCCTCACGAGATCAGAAAAAGCCAGGCATATATGTTTTTTTGAAATCGTGTGCGCAAGAGTATTCAGGAAACTTGAGAGTCTTTGTCAAAACACTACAAAACGTTGCGTCCATGAAACTCCGTGACGCACATGAATTATATATTTACAGTGAAATCACCAGGCCACGTACCTCTTTTGAGGCGTTTAAAAATGTCCGTTCCCATTTCATTACAAATGAATACTATTCCTTGAAGTTTCCACAACATTTCCTTTGCCTTTAGAAGAAAAATCACGGAAGTTTTCAAGAAAAGACGTTGAGTAGTTTTCCATTCACAAGATAAAGTATGGGTCTGGTAGATTTACCGTTCGGTAAGCACGGTTGCACAATCGAGATGTGCACAGTCTGAAGCCACCATGATACTGCCGAAAACATAGTAGAGGGGTCCATGCACGGACCACCATTTATATATACGTTTCAGAAAAATATTCTGTCATAGAGCAGATTCACAGGATTCTTCCTGGGACCGCTATATAGATTCTGGACATTTTCTCTGATACTCTTAACGTGGTTTTCGTGTGATTTTGCCCGTTAAAATAGTCTACTCAGTTAGATGTACCTCATGTCACATGCGAAAAAACGCACTTGAAGCAGAATATACTCTGCAGAGAGCAAGTATTGAACTCAATTCCTGAATGACGTAATAATAAAAACTGCATTTGAGGTCAATGAGATAGAATGTAGAGGGCGAATGTCACCATTTATGATTTAAAATTATACTTTCTATTATAAGGAGGAACAAAATCCAAAGGTGCATTTTTTAAAGTACCCATCTGCAAGGCGACTGAAAATTGTTATAAATTGTCAGCCAAATCTACATGGCGGCTTTCTGCTTAAATAGCATCTTTACTAGCGTTATATTAAAGATAACAAACGTTGGACAAAGAGGATGACATCTCCCGCCCTTGTTTATTTTACGTTACTCAATTGGCAGAAAATAATATCCCAACCATACGACGTACAACGGTGTGGTGTCATCGGGGTAACACGTTTATCGCCGTAAAAGGGAACGAACGTGAAAACGCCTTCAAATAGGCCTATATGCAACTTTAACAACCATTAAGTAGCAATAGTTGTATCCAAGCGCCGTCATTTACGGAGCGTTGGGTCAAACAATTAATGATGCACTACGGGTCAATTTAATAGAGCCCCGCTGCCATTCTTAGGAAAACCAGCGCATGATTTTGTTGCCAAATTTCTACCTGTGAAACATTAATGTTTTCAGAAGAAAATTGAACGTTTTTCCTGAAAATTTTTAGAAACGCTAGAATTCCAGAGGTATAAACAGGATAGTTTTTAAAGAAAGCTGTTATTAATGTTTCCATGATCGAGAGACAAAATGATGCCAATCCCAAAGCTCTATACAACCATGACGAATATTGTTCTTAAAATGACGAATACCTGTGTGGAATAAATCACTGTGCGGAAAAGTCCGTGGACCTGGCGTGATCCTGTCAATTTGTATTAATTTGAATAATTATTACACGCCAATCACATTTTTTTTCGTCTTCAGCTGTTGGGTTTTTCTCTTGTAAGTTTGATTCTCACTAAATGTTAATCCTGGATTTTGATCCATTAGAGACATTCAATACTTTTAATCAAAAACGAACAAGCAAGTTGTATTAGACTTGTTTGATATATTCTAATAAATTCTTTTTTCACATGGGACTTACTTAAGAGCAAATTTCTATAGTGCAGGAAAGATATGCAAATCAAAATTTACGTCCAAGACACTCATAGTGAGACAGCTCAATGCGTCCATCTTAACTGCAATCGATTTCTGTGAAATTCTAAATGTATCACATTATTTGGATTGAGTTTAAGAGAAAAGAAACAGTTCAACAGCCGAAATTGACAGTTCGTATTTTCATTTTTCCCTAATTCTCAATTTAGAAAGAATGCTCACGGTTTGCAGAGACTGAAAAGACATCGAATTTCAAATTTTGACCGCAAAGAATATACGACATGTCAGTTTTAAACTGATTTCAATTGAATTTGTTGTTAGAAGTGAGTTGGTTTTTCCTGAAGAACTCGACTTTACTCGTTGACCCTAATCGAAATGACAGATCTTGTCTTAAGAAATCACTCATGTATTACAATGCATCGAAAGGAAGGGAAGCATTGCATTGTTTATCAGTTTAAATTTTGAGAATTGATTCACTTTTGGAGATGTGAAATATTTTTGGGCCACATACTGAAAAAAAACCAATGAGTTTCTCCGAGAAATTGGGAGAGACTTCCATCCAACATACCATAATTTTTATAAGACCTTGCGTTTAAGTTACGAGATCATAACAAAAGAGCAAGAGGTGTTAAAAAAAAGTGCTCCTGGAGATATTTAACCCTAGTCTGAGAATTCGAAATTGTGCCAGACGCGGATGAATCGAAAGAAAGAGAAGCATAAGAAAAAAAGAAATCAGAAAAACAGGAGGAGAAAGTTGAGAAAGATGAAAAGGTTGAAAAAGAGAGGGAGATGCAGATGAAGAAACCAAAGAAAAAGAAAAAAAATGGAGAGGAAAGAAAAGACGAGGCAAGAAAGGAGGAGGAAAATAGGAGAGAGGGAGTAATGCAAGTAAAGTAAGAGGGAAAAGAATAGGAGGAGGCAATCAAGAGATAACCGAAAGAGAGAGAGAGAGAGAGAAGAAAAAGATAAAAAAACAGAGGAAATGGAAAAATAAAAAAGGAAAACAGGAGCAATTATTTTTCTTCCTCTTTTTTTCCTCTTTTCTCTCTTTTTCTTCTTTGTCATTCTACTTTTCTCTCTCCTCATCCTTTTCTTCTCCATTTTCTTCGTCTTCGTCGATTATCCTGAAGACTAGGAAATACCTTGTAAGATCCTGAGATCCCGAGGACAGCCTATGTAACGGAAAGGAACTGCGACCCGATTGAACCGATACGGGTGCATCTAAATCAAAAGAAACTACATCCATTCTGACATTAGCCCTGAGATCCGTAAAAGTATGTGCATACCAGGGCTCTTGTCAAAATGGATATGGTTTCTTTTGATTTAAATGCGTCCGTTTGGAGCCGCGAATCAACGGAATAGACGTAGACGCGGTGACGATTGCAAAAGGAACTCTCCGCTGAAGTCTTGATCGGCGTAGACAGGGGCGTCTGCAAAGGGGGGGGGGCGAGGGGGGCCCCGGACCGGTTCTATTAGCCGCCGTTTATTTATATTCAAAGACCATCCGATCAATATAATTACACCAAAGACGTCCGTCGGATCGAATTTTAGAGTATGCCGCGACGCGCAGTGACGAGACCCCTCCGGTGATGCCAAATAAGTTACGTTTCTGAAACAACCAACTTCAAAATGTCATAACATCAGTTTTCTTCGATATTTTTGAAGGATTTTTTCCTCAAAAATGCCCCTACTCTATATCATAATATCGATGACTTAATTTTGACTTTAAGTAGACAAAAGATCCATTTCTCTTGGACCGTCACACAATGGATCAAGTCAATAGGAGAGGTCGGACAAAATTTGGAAACCTTAAACGCTTATAACTCCGTTTATACAAAACTTAGAGGTTTTAAAAGTCGCTCCGGTGGTTTTCTCGTAAAACTTTCTTCAAGAAGCACCCCTTAAAGTTTAAAATGTAACGGAATCAATATTTGCAGTTTTAGTCAAAAATTTAATGTCCGACCTCTCTAACTGACTCGATCCACTTTGCGTCACATAAAAAGCCAAATCAAGTCCAAAATAAAAGGAAATATTCCTCCAAGTAAAAAGAAGTATCTGTAGAAAAAAACAAGGGTTTTTGAAAAAGCATATGTCCATTGTCCATTTCAAAGGAATGGAAACTTGCACGAGAAAATTGTATTGCTTCATAGAATAGCGCCTTAAGAGTTGAGTTGACTATATGTTTCTTTCAAATTGTTGTTTTTGTCATGAGGCACCGCAGGGATTCCCATTTTAAAACATGAGTTTTAGCAGAATAGATTATCTGGCCATAACTACTCTAAAAATTCTGTTTGACTAAAGAACCGAGTGTGTACTCTAATATTCAGTTCACTCATGTTCAGTGGTTTCTATTTTCAGATGAAATGCATCTGAATCCAGACACCTGTAATCTCTGTTGCCACTTAAAATATCTCTAAATTTTCCGATGATAAATAAGAACTAACCTCAAGAAGTTCAAGTGGATTTGAATTGATTTGTGGTCAATAAACCTCCAATATGCGTCTCCGAAATATTGCACTGAAAGTAGCTGCATGGTCATTAAGGATATAAGAGTGAGTGACATTTAAGTGATTTCAAGGAAAACGCGTTCAAAGTTGGGACTTACCATTAGACTTACGACGCAAATGCATTCTAAACTCACATTAAGAGGCGAGGAAAAAGGCAGGCGATGGATTCGGGTTTTCCACAAAATATATTCTGGAAAAAAATTTTACGCGCAATGATTCAGATCTCAATTCTTAGAAAATTTGCTTGTAATTTCTTCGTTCGGGTTGTCACTTTTTTTCTTCTTTTTTTTCATTATCCTAAATTAATGCCATGTTCTTTGAAAATCTTCTCATGCTTTACAGTGTCAAATTCAAGGTGCATCAGATAAATTAGAGGAAACTGATCGACTAAACATGAGAGAAATGTATAGTCTTTCACACTGCAAAAAACTATTCAGGGAGGAATGTGACTTTAAGAGTTTGCATTTTTTACCCTCTACCGCATTTTCAGCTCTCAGACAACTCTAAATTTACTATACGTGGCAGAGTGATTTCATTTCAATACTGTGCAAACTACCGTTACTTATGTATTTTTGGCATCAAGGTTGGAAAAGGTAGTATAATTATTGTGACAGTCCACAGTACAAGGACCCTTCCTGTTTGGCAAAACAATTTTCAAATTTTATTTCAGAGGGGTCAATAAATCGATTTGAATTGGAAAAATCTCAATTTTCTTGGAGAGTATATGTTTTATTCCGTTAGAATTGTATCATAGTGCAATAATTTTGAGTGTCGAACTGAGCGGGATGAGTTGAGTCAAAAAATTGGATTTTGGGATTTCAAAGGAAAATTCACTGGCATGGGTGAAAGAGTACCTTGTGAGAGGATAAGTTACACACACACGGTAAGAATAGGCAACCAAAATCGTGTATTAATATAAGAAATGAAACATGAAGTATACAAGACGTTGGTTGATTTCTTTATTGTGATAGTTTTCCCTGTGTCAATCGACCAAATCTTTGTGTTTAAAATCTGCGACATGGTTAAAAATTAGTCGCCAGCTTTCAGGATCTGTATTTTGTGTATTAAATTTATTTTATGTGTTTCATTTAATAATCTTAAAGGAATTGTATACAATGCTGTTTCAGTAGTTTAAATTAAATAAATATTAAAAAAAAAAAAAAAAAAAAAAAAAAAAAAAAGCTTTCAGTATTGAATCTGGATTGCGTCGATGATAGTTCGATTCGCCAGCCAATCACAAGTCGAGACCTCTGAGAATGGGGAGGAAAACAAAAGTAAGTACATAAGTTCAGCAGGACACTAAAAAAACTTTGTTCATGATCCGATGTCCTGGGGTAGCCCACGGTTTGGGTTGATTTAGCATAAAATTGTGTTGAGCAACCAAGTCCTTTAGGTTGACCTGACGCAAAAAAAAGTAACACAAAGTGACATCAAACACGGAAACTTTCAACTGTGTATCTGCGCCGCTGGAGGAGACTTTGCATCACGATCTATTAATTTTCTGTCCTTAACATAAAAGATCATCATTTTACGTAGCTTTTCCTCGAAATCTCAAATATAAAAGCATCTCATCAGCAGTTTGGTTTGATATACCACATACTATTGGACAGTTTTCTTCTCATTTGTTCCTAAAATGTTCATAGAGTACTCTCTAAGCTCTGACATCTGTAAATTAATTTTGAGTTTTCATGCACTAAGGCCCCTTTTTTCATGAACGTCCAAAAATTGGTTTGGATTCAATTGCTCATCACTGTGATCTTCCTCAATCACTTCGCAAGCTTGAGCATTCACTATCCAAAAAAAAAGAAAAAAAAAAAATCACTTTTACACCAAAAGGAAAATAGTTGCGCAGTGCGAGTCTCTAAAATATATTATCTCTGGGGAGACTACTATCATGACGTCATTATCTTATTTCAGTTGGCAATGCTTTTTTTTTCTATAAAAATTTTCCTTTTCAATGAACTAACGACGACGTGATCATTGTTTCCAACATGGCAACATGGATTCAGGATCGGGAGCTTTGTGTTTCTCGATGCGATGGGACGCGACGCGACGCGACGCCAGGGTGTTGTGAAATGCGTGACAACGTTCGGACCTCAGCGCGCGCCTCCTTGAGCAATTCGGTATACAAATGGTCTTCTTCTCACCTTTTGCCCAGATGAGGGTTCCCTCACCTAAGGTCACATTCGTGAAAATTTTGCAACAACGCAGCAGAGCTTTTACGGGTGGCAGGATTTTCAATGGGCCAGTTGTGTGGGTTACAGGCTTGTGATTTGTTGGTCAAATCGTCTTGATCGCAATAGGTAATAAAAGTGGTTCAAATACTAAGGACATATTACCGCTAAAAAGGGGGAAAAAGCAGAAAAATACAGGGTGCACTGAGGAAATTTTTTAAAAATTAAATCAAGTTCAGAAAAAAGGAGGAAATAGGAGGAATAGGAAGGGAAAGGAAAATTGAGGGGAGAAGATCAAAAGTATTTTTAACCTGATGAAAAATATCGAAGTTAATTTTTTTTAAAAGGACAAAACATTTCTTAGTCGTTTAATCCACTATATACTCGTATATCTGCATTGTTAGTTAGTTAATTTTATCTATAGACATTCAGCATTCTAGGCTGTCAACGTCTTTACAAAGAATTTGGAAGATGGGCTTAAATACA